CTGCCCCTCCTGTGGAGGTCTCTCCTGTCGCTGCCCCTCCTGTGGAGGTCTCTCCTGTCGCTGCCCCTCCTGTGGAGGTCTCTCCTGTCTCAGCCCTGTTTAGGTCTGGGCTTGTATCACGGAGCTCCCCTTTTGTTCATCTGTGGGTGTCAGGCTGTGCAGCCGAGTGTTTGTCGGGTTCCTGCGCTGTCTGCCATCAGGGCGGGATGCGATCAGTCTGATAGATACATTTTATGTGGTATCATCGATGTCGCAGTTGTTCTGCTTCGCCAGTTAAGGCTGTTCTGACATGTTCTGCCCGACCAGGACCTGGTTCGGAAAGGGATCCCCCACCACTTCCGGGGAATCGTTTGGCAGCTCCTGTGCAACGCCCAGAACATGCCCATCAAGGAGCAGTACTCAGAGCTGCTGAAGATGACATCACCCTGCGAGAAGCTGATACGCCGGGACATCGCCCGCACCTACCCCGAGCACGACTTCTTCAAGGAGAAGGACAGCCTGGGCCAGGAGGTGCTCTTCAACGTCATGAAGGTGAGCGCCCGGCCTGGCCAGCCATGCCCGACCTGGTGCGCTCGGAGGGTGCGGCATGTCGCCATAGGCCGATATAATTCTGCTTTTCAGTCTCTTACCGTTGCCTTGACATGGTGGACCCCGGGCTGGAGTGCGATTAAAAATTGGCCCTGCATTTTGGGGTCTCCCATCATGAGTGGTGGGGTCCCCACAAAAAGCCATCAGCCCACTGGGAAAATGCCCGATATACCAAGCCAGTCCAGTCCCGGGTAGATCTACTTAGATCAGTCTTTTGTTCTGCTTCGAACTGGCGAACATGCAGTTAATATTTCTTTGTAGTTTGCATCCTTAGACGCACTTGCCAGTTCTTAATTTAAGGGATGTGGATGTCGAGCCGTCAGGTTTCACGTCCTGCCGCAGTTCACACCCTAACGGACACGAGCGGCTCCGGCTGGGTGAGGGCATGAGGCCTACAGGGCGGCTCGGCAGCTGAATGCCCTGCTGCGGTGGGGGCGGCAGCGCCCTCGGGCGCCCGGCTCCGAGCAGCGTGTCATGTCAGACGGCGCAGGGAGCGGGCGTGCTGACATCACACACGCTTAATGCCTCCTGTTCCGGCTGCCTCTGCTCCTTTCACTTAGCCTGCTGGCATTTGCTGACTTCTGTCCTCCTCAGCCACATGGCATGTGATGCATGCCCTCATGATGTCACTTCCTGTTTCAGGCATACTCCCTGGTGGACCGGGAGGTGGGCTACTGCCAGGGAAGCGCATTCATCGTGGGGCTGCTGCTCATGCAGGTGACACTGAAATGACCAGTAGGGGGCGCTCTGCTCCCATGAAGCTGCTCCCTGGTCGGCAGGTCGAATGATGGCCGTGTGCGTGTTCCTTCAGATGCCGGAGGAAGAGGCTTTCTGCGTGTTCGTCAAGCTGATGCAGGAGTACCGTCTGAGGGAACTCTTCAAGCCCAGTATGGCTGAGCTGGGCCTCTGCATGTACCAGTTTGAATGTATGATTCAGGTAATATGTAGCTCTGTCTTGTCTCTAGGGGGCAGCAATGAGCTGCTTTCAAGTTGCTTAATTGCATCTCTCACCTGACCAAACATCTTGAACGGGCCTGTGGGTTTTTACGGGGCGGCTGTGCACTGCTGCAGACGGCAGGTGCAGTATGGTTTGCGCTTTCGTTTTATCAAGTGACTGGCAGTAGGAGGATGGCATGTGGTCCTCTGAAGCATCCCTGCTTCAATCCCACATCACCCCCCTCCTCTGAGGGCTGCTGCGGCACTCACACATGTGCCCCCCTCCCCCAGGAGCAGCTGCCCGAGCTCCACATGCACTTCCAGGCACAGAGTTTCCACACCTCCATGTACGCCTCCTCTTGGTTCCTCACCATCTTCCTCACCTCCTTCCCTCTGGCCGTCGCCACTAGGATCTTTGACATATTCATGAGCGAGGTGAGTGCCGCGCTGGACTCTGACCACTGATGCGGGGATTCCTCTGGGCTGACACACACACTGGGGTGAATATTTGCCTTCTGTTTTCCGTTTGATAAAAAGGCACTCAGCTTAGGCTGAATGTAAACAAAGGTTGCCACCTTGTGGCCAAATTGGATGCTGCAGATCATTACTTTGCTCTGCGCCCTCTGTTGGCAGGGCCTGGAGATAGTCTTTCGAGTAGGACTGGCCATTCTTCAGATGAACCAGGCCGAGCTCATGCAGCTGGACATGGAGGGGATGCTACAGGTGAGTGAGCCGGGGGCCTTCAGGCAGCCTGTGCTCCCCAGGGAGGCCACCATGCGCGTAACGCCCCTCTGTCCATGTCACAGCACTTCCAGAAGGTCATTCCCCACCAGCTGGACAGCGGCCCTGACAGAGTCATCCTGACTGCATACCAGGTCAAGTACAACGGCAAGAAGATGAAGAAGTACGTTCACCTTCTGAGAGGCTGATGCGTCACGCGTGTGAAAAGTGTCGCACCATTGCTTCTTCCGATTTCGCCGGAAATCATGTATGCAGTGCCCGTGATTTCACTCCTTCGGCGGGAGGCGGCCATGTGCAAAAACGCCTTTCCTGGCTGGGGGGAGCTGATCGCGGCCCCGTGCGATTCACAGTTTGCTTTGCGATTGTTCCTCAGGTTAGAGAAGGAGTACAGCACGATCAAGACAAAGGAGATGGAGGAACAAGTGGAGATCAAGGTGAGAGAGGCTCCCCCTGCAGGGCTGGCGGGGTATTTCTCACCATTGTGACATGTGACAGGATATTTACATTTCACAAGGTTCTGCTGAAGGGGGTTTCTGGGTCATTTTATTATTAAACTTGTACTTGATTTCAGAATACAAATAATACAAATTACAAGCAAATTAACAGTGTAAATTTATTTTAGGGGTTAATAGTGAAATGGTAGTTAGAATGCTTCATGTCTGCTGATAACTTTAACGTTACACCTGCTGCAGCGTTTCCTTTAACTGCCAGTGTGATATCAGTCGTGGTGAAATCTGGTTTTGTGTCCCCCCTCCCCCCCACCCAGAGGCTACGCACAGAGAACAGACTCCTGAAGCAGAGGATCGATACCTTGGAGAAAGTGAGTGCTGTGGGGGGTGGGGGTGGGGGTGGTTCCACGAGGGTCTTACTCAAAGCTCCATCAGTCCATTATCCGTGTGTGTGTGTGTGTGTGTGTGTGTGTGCGCGTGTGCGTGTGTGTTCTCCGTGGCCATCAATGCATCCCGACCTGTTGCGCTGACCAAGCTCTGCGGTACAGCTAAACGGAGTGTTCCCGTGTCATGCGGGACGGTAGAAACCTTAACTGTCAGGAAGCTGAGGATCAGCCTTAGCACGTTCACGGCAAACCGAGGTTTTATTACAGAAAGGTCAAGAAAGGTCACCGGAATGGCAGCCAGTCCGAGCCAGCGCAGCTCTCTGCTATCTGCCCTGCCTTTCAGCTGAGCGTGGTTTGCAGTGACTGGTCTGCAGTGACTGGTCTGCAGTGACTGCCTCCATGCCTGGGGTGGGTGGGGCTTCATACAGGAAAGCTGAATGCAGTCAAAAAATGTGTCCACCGCCTGCACTGGCATGGCTTCACCAGAGGCAACTTTTGAGACCGTGGAAATGGGCGGCTGGGGCTGTGGTCACAGCAGGGGGACATCGAGCCCAGCCCGGTGTCCCTCGCTGAGCTGTCCTCTTCTCAGGCCCTGTCCTCTATCCCCTGCTGCTTGCGGCAGTGTCAAAGCAGCACCCCACCCTGCGCTTAGCCACCACTCTACCCTGCGTCATGTGACTTTCCCGTCCGCAGTACCCGATTGGCTGTTTCTGTAAGACCATCTGAGCTGCAGTGAATTTAGCCCTTTTTGTTTTGTCTCTGAGTGGAAAAGGGAATTCTTCCCTGTGGAGACGAACATTTCGTGTCTCTGTTTTAAAATGTGCTCTCTGGTTTTTCTCCTGTCCCTCTGTGTGTTCCTGTCTTTTTTTAGGAAAGCGCTTCCTTGGCTGATAGGTTGATCCAGGTATTTCGTTAAGCTCTCTTTGTCCCCATCCTGCATCTCTTCCTTTCCTTTTTTTTATAACCCTCTTCCCTTTCCTCTATACTTTGCATGCGCTCTGTGTAATTCCCGTAATTTGCACCGTGGACGCCAACGCTGTGCCAGAAATAAGATCGACGGTGACATAATCCTGCCTGGCCTTGGAAGCTGCCCCATCCAGCATGACCAGCACCGTAACCGCATGCCGGCATTATTCAGCCCCCCCCCTCTGTCTCCGCCAAAGCAAAGCCCGACTTAACAAAGCCCAGTAACTGCCCCACGCCCAGCATCGCCCCCTATAGACGGCATGCCTGCACTCCGTCCTCAACCGCCCTGATTATATCCCAAGGGGCAAGTGACCCGGGCCCAGGAGGCTGAAGAGAACTACCTGATAAAGAGGGAGCTGGCTACGGTCAGGCAACAGAGCGAGGAGGCCAGCGCCCACCTGGAGCAGGCCCAGGGCACCATACGCGAGCTCCAGCAGCAGCGACAGCCGGCGGGAGGGGTAAGGAGCCAGGAGGCCCCTCGCGGAGCACGGCTGCTGAGGACGGCGGCTGGCCGTCGTCGGGGCCACCGTAGTCACCCAATCCCCTTCCCCACCACATGAACATCTCCCACCCCCCCGTCGTGTCTTCCTCGCTGCCCCTCCCCTGATGCTGCTGCTGCTGCTGCTTATGATTCAGGCAGCACTAGCCGCTCCATCTCCCTCCAGTCTCTCTCTGTCATCACAGGCAGGCACCCAATGCGATTCGTCACCGGTAGCTTTAGCCCCTTCAGTCTTGCTCCTTTGGTTTCACCCCTTTGTCAGAATACAGGCAGGCGGGCTGACGATAAAGCCACTTTTTAGCTGGTTAAAGTGCAGCCTTCAGACAGGCACGCTCCTGGCCTGAAGGGGGCGCTGCACGACGTCAGTGTGTAATTCTCCTTAAAGAGGCCTCCGTTTGGCGCTCCTGTCCTTCCTAATGTCCGCTCCTCCCACAGCCCAAGGTGACCCTGCGGTACTCGGAGGACTTCATCCTGCAGCTGGAGCGGGAGCTGGTACAGGCCCGGCTGAAGGAGGCTGAATCCCAGTGTGCCCTCAAGGACATGCAGGACAAGATCCTGGACATGGAGAAGGTGCGGCCTGCCCCCCTCCCAGCCGAAGCTTGGGCCAAAATCCCCGCGGGGCGCCTTGGCGCTGACCGCGGCACGTCTGTAATCCACTCATCTGTCCCCATTTTAGAGGAACATGGCACTGCCGGACGAGAGCAACGTGGCCCGTCTCCAGGAGGAGCTCATCGGGATGAAGGTCAGGGAGGCAGAAGCCATCACGAGCCTCAAGGAGCTCCATCAGCAAGTCAGGGACCTGGAGGAGCACTGGCAGGTAAGGCCGGCAGGTGGGGGAGTGGCGGAGTGGGGTGTCGCTCGCTGGGGTAACCTGCCGGGGACCTGCTGGCCACGGCTGCTGTTGGTGGTAATGTGCGTGTGGCCCCGCCCCATGCAGAAGCACCTGGCGCGCACGGCGGGCCGCTGGAAGGAGAGCCCCAAGAAGAACACGGTGGGCGAGCTGCAGGACGAGCTGATGAGCGTGCGGCTGCGCGAGGCTGAGGTGCAGGCGGAGCTGCGAGAGACACGCCAGAGGATGCTGGAGCTGGAGACGCAGGTCAGGCTGCGCACACACGTCCGGTCGCTGCACTGCACCCTGAACATGTGGGGTGCACACATCGCATGGTGTCATACACTACATGCCCTCTAGGGGGCACCAGGTAGCCACTCACAAATCAAGGGGTACCGTTCAAACTCCACACACAGAACTGGTGGGATTCAAGCTCCTGCCCCTGGAGGCCAAGCAGGGAAATATCTCCTAGCACTTGTTGCTCCAACAAATCCAAACATTCCTTTTTTCGCTGGGAGACTTTAAGGTTTAGATTAGTTTGTTAGCCAAGTGAGTATAGGATGCGTATGACCAGCAGAGGGCAGCAAAGCACTTTGCGGCTCTCCACATACTGTAGCTTGCCAAAAATTAAACTTTCTTTTTTTTAATGTTGTCTGCCTGGTATGATGGATGTTTTCGCTCTGATGTTGGTTGGGAAAGCACTTTACCTGCGCGTTTCACTTCTTAAAAATGTAGTAATGAATTTATCTTTGCTGCAAGTGTTGTGTAATACCGGTTTTTTAAAGGGGCAGGTTTGAATCTCATGGTGGCGTTACACTGACAGGACTGTCTCTGATTGGGCCAGAGATCAGTTAATGTTCTGATTGTACAGAGATTACAGTGAGTGACACACGCGTCCCAGCAGTGACTCTGTCAGGTCTGTCAAGCAGACGCATTGTGTGACCTTTGTGTGCCTCCCCCCCGCCCCATATTCCACACACAGAACCAGATCCACAGCAACCAGCTACGACGGGCCGAGCAGGAGAGCCGCAGGCTGCAGGAACGCACGCAGCTCCTGACTGCGCAGAACAAGGGCCTGCAGGTGCAGCTGCAAGAGCTGAAGCGCAAGCAGGCGGAGATCGAGTGTAAGGTAGGATGACCTTCCAGCCTGCAGTGGTCACTTACAGCCCCCCCCCGGCAGTGGACCTGTCCTCCTGCGGGAGGATAGCCAGCTGCCCCCCCCCTGCCCCACACGCCCACTCAGGACGGGTAGCAAAATGTCATGTTTCTTCATCTTGACCAGACTCTCAAGGGTCTGGCCTAAAAAGGAACAAGTTTCTTCTGCTTTTAGTGCTACAGGAGATAAAAATCTGTTGTGTTGCTCGCACTGTTAAACCGTGCAGATGAGGCCGCCGTCCTGCGGATACCGTTTCAGCATTTCACGAACGCTCCGGCCGCTTCTCCTACTTCTCTGGAACATCACGCTGGCTTTTTTTTTCTCAAGCACTTCAGTTCCCCCAAACATGAGCTTTTTTGTAAGATTACACGAGTGGCTTCGTCTCGGATGTGATTTGAGAGATAAGCATGTGCTGCTGCTGCTGCTATAGCCATGGTTCTAATGTGCCACCCGCTCAGAGCGAGGCCTGCCGGACGGTGGGGGTCCTGCTCCCGTTGGGGGGGGGGGCTCACAGCATTCCTTCAGGTAGAACCACATGGTCACCCCCTTTGGGTCTGGTTCTGCAAGCCCCCCTTTTTAGATCCTCTTCCGTTCAATAAACAACCCCCACCTCCGACCCCACTGGCCGGCCTCCCCCACCTCGCCACCTCGCCGCCTCACAGCCCCATGTCTGTCCGCAGAACAAAGAAGAAGTCATGGCCGTGCGTCTCCGCGAGGCTGACAATATGGCCGCCATGGCCGAGCTGCAGCAGCACATCGCCGAGCTGGAGATCCAGGTACGTGTGACGCGCTCGCAGCCTGGGGAGGGGGGCGGAGACTCCTACAGCGAGGCAGGGAGCGCCGTGCGTGAGAAGGGAGCCCCTCTCGACGGGGCCGGTGCGTCGGGGGGGCGGGGGTTCTCCGTGACTGGTGCTCGGTGGAGATGGGTGCGTCTTCCAGACGTGGCTGTTATTTCGGGCCTCGGAGTTGAGGACTCCGTGAGCCGCAGCCCGTGTGATCGAGCTCTTTCCTCAGCACCTCCCTGAGCAGGCTTATCTCTGCCGGCGGGGCTGGGGGAGATGCAGAACAGGAAAATGAGCCCGGCCTCACTCTTACTTCCTGGTGTGAACGTGTGCTGGCCCAGTCCAGGAGGAAGTGCCCCACTTTTGTTTCAGCTAATAATTCACTGATTACTGAATGCTGTGCTCACAAAGGCTGATATTATAGGCCCTGTAGCAGCAAGCTGCCTACTAACAGTATCCTAATAAGACAAAGACATTAGCTGGTTAGTGAATCAATTGATGATTTAATTGCCAAAGTTAAATATACATATCTGGTTCACTTTTTTACTCATTTAGTTATTCTCTGAAGATGCTGGCTCAGCGTGCTTAAAATGATTTTTGTATTAAATCGTGATCATTTACAAACAGCATACAGAAAGTTCTGTCAGTTGCATTCGTCAGTGCTCGATTAGTCTGTGTGAGCTAGGCCAGCTTGCTGATTGGCTGACTGCGTTGGCAGCCCAGCCCCGCCCCCCTCCCACCCTGGCGCTGCGGTGTAAGTGTGCGGGCGCTTTCTTGCCACCCATCAGTGTGGGCAGGTGAGCTGGTCTGTGGTTCGTAGGGTTGCAGAAGCACGGCTGTGGGGCTGATCCTGCACCTACTCGCGCCGGGGGCCTCCCTCAGGCAGCCGTTAGCCTGGCTGCAGAGTCATCGTTAACACGTACAAAGCAAAAGCTCGGTGCCCAGATGACCGCGCCTCTTAATGAACGCGCAGGCCGTCTTTTTCTGGAAGTGCTGAACGATTCGCATGCTTTCCTATAAAGAAAAATCTCAAACCGAAGACTGAAGCCCCAGAGTTACGGTAAAAGCCAGCAAACACAAAAAGAAGAAAAACACATTAGCAGTGTTTCAGACTTGTGAACTCGATAAAAGGTGACGGCGTGTGACACAAATTGCTGTGTAAATGTATCTTGGTGACAGCGTTCGCGCCATCCGCTAGCGCAGTCTGGTTTTTTACACTCACTGCCTGCTCACTGACTCACTCCCAGGTGCAATTTTAGCAGCCCCTGCTACACAAAGCTGAACTTTGCCTTGATTTGCAGTTTTGGGGGGAGAAGCGTGAGGTGTCGCGCCAAGCGGTGCGCTTCTGGGCGGTGGGTGCCGGAATGGTCTGCGTCCTCTCGCCACTGCCTTGGCTCCTCTTACACGCTGTCGGTCTGTCTGAGGCGCTGTAGGCACCTCTGCTTCCTCCCCCAGGGCCGATGTCCAGCAAGCACAGCGCACCTCGCAGGATCGCACGCTGAGCTGCACTCCCCCGATATCGGGTGTTCATCGTGCTGGTCATTAAGGCACTTTGTGCTTTTCCTGTCCATGGTGCAACAACACCTTTCTGGCACTGCGATCGCAGGATTAAGAGCAGCACTGTGGTGGAGGGGTGGGTGGATGTGAGCACGAGCCCCCCCCCCCCCCCCAACTTAAACGCCATAGGACCCCCACGCCCGATGCCAGCCCCTCTGCAAGGTCGTTAAACAGTAACGGCGGAGAGATCTGGGTGCATGCAGAGCGCTTGTCGCATGCTGTGGGGGATCAGTGATGCAGCGCTGCGACAAGCCATGCGACTTTATAAATAGCGCTGAGAACAGGCCGCTGGCCGGCAGACTTGCCTGCACGGTCGTACCAGAGGAAGCCGGTGGCCTCAGCCCTTATAAACTGCAGCCCCGTTTTGTCACGGCAACCCCATCCCCGGTAATAACAAATGCACCCTGTCAGTAATGCAGCCTTGCGCGCCATCACGTTGTCT